GGGGTGTAGGATGGAGCCGCAGCTTGTCTGGGGGGAGGGTGGGGAGTGAGGATGGCTTCTGCTAATGTATGCGCTCCCAGGGCAGGCTGTGGTCAGGCCAGGTGGGACAGGGTGGGCAGCAATGGCGCTGGGAGGTGGAGGTGGAACTATGGGTGGGGAGCTATACCCACCTCAAAATTTGCTGTAGGCCCCCTCTCCTACCGCTGTCCACCCCTGCCCACTCCGAGCACAGCCCGGGCCCAGCTCCCCCACTGGGAAGAGGCTGACGCAGCCTTCAGCCCTGAGCACATAGTGGCAGCTTGCCCTCACACTGTGCACAGATTTGGGGCATGCAAGGGATGTGCACAGTGGCAGGAACCTCCCCCTGCACTCTCCAGATGAGACACAGCCCTGTCCTGCACCCCATCCTGCCCCAACTGTGCAGTGCCTGCCCCTGCCCAACTCCAGCCCCAGCCCTAATCCCTCCTTCACTGCAGGGCCCTTAATCTGCCCCTCTCCCCCCACAGACTTAGCAGCTAGATGCTGCTCTCCAAGCTGCTGGGCTGCACTCCTGGCTACATGCATGGTGCAGCTATGCACATGCATGTGACATTTATCAGTGACATAATTGGCCACATCAGCCAAAAAAGGCCGATTGCCAATTTTCCTTTTATTGGTGCGAATACTATATGGACTGATGTATCAGTGCACCTCTGGACCCAAGTCTGGTTTTTAGCAAAAAAATCACTAATAACCAAATGTATCTTGCTTTCACTGATATGTCCCCTATGCTACTTGGAATAATTTGAAGTGGCACAGTAGTGAGTATGCAGGTAGATTTCAAAGATACAGTGAGGGTGGGATCCCCAGAGTCCAATCCCAACTAGCATGGGCACTGTAAGGTCCCTGGAGCTCAATCCTTTTTGGGCAGGGGAGGTGCAGGATCCCACACTGCAACCACCTGGCCAGGATCAGGTTTTATAACTGTCCGCTGCCTCTGCCTGGCCCCATGGGGCTGGGTCCCCTTGCAGGTGGGCAACAATACAGCCTGCAACAGGCTGCTGGGAGTGGGACATAGGGCGCCATGTGCATGTGCACACCTGCACACATGCACATTACTGGGAAAGAGCTGGGTGGCCTGGACAGCACTTCCCTGCAGGTAAGTTTATTGGGCGGGGGGAGTGCGGAGGAGGCATGGGGAGGCAGATCAAGGTCCCCACGGTGAGGGAGGGATTGGGGCAGGGGCTGGGGATGTTGCCATGCCAGGGCAGTGCATGGGGGGGCCAGGGCAGAGAGTGGGACTGCTACAGGTGGCTCATGAGGGGGCACAGGGCACGTGGAGGGGGGTGGCTCCCCACTCCTGCATGCACCCCCTGTGGGGCAGAATGGGGGGCATATGCTTCCCCTCAGAATTGTGTGTGGGGTGGATGTGGGTTGCCTGCTGTGGTCTTGGGGTTTCCCAACCCTGACCCCAGTGGTGTGGAGTTTTGCTGCCAGGTGGTGCATGGCTGGTGCAGGGCTCCCAGAGGAAGGGCAGCTGTGCTGTCAGAAAGGTGGGGGGGCATGTGTCCTGTCTTCCAATTTGGAAAAGGTGGTCTCCCTAATGGGGGGGGCACCTTTACCGAGCCAGGACTAGGCTCTGCTTGGGTGAAGGCAGCATGGGGCCCATCCCAGCTTGTGAGGATGGCATGGGGCCTGATTAGGGCCTGCAGACTGGCCCTGCATTATTTAACTGGCCCACAGGGCCCAGACTATGAGCACCACTTCCCCATTGATATCCCCTCCATATAGCCAATTCTTAAGATTAGTGGAAAAGCTATTATAAGCAGAGATCCGGGTTTTCCATTTCCCACAGAAAAATGGAGAAAACCACAGATTTCCTATTTTTATCTGAAAAAACACAGGTTTTCCCTTTTAGCAGAGAAACCTGTGGATTTCCCCTTTTTGCAAAGAGCTCTGCAGGCTGACTGAGTTCAAGCCTGCAAGAGCTGATTGCAAAAGGGGCAGGAAACCCCCAGCCCTGCCTGGAGAGAGAGGAAGTTGGGGAAGGGCAGGGCCTGAGTCTGTCAGCCAAGGCTGGGCTCAGGTTCATTCTTTGCTCCTGGAGCCTAAGGTAAGTGGGATGCAGGGCAGTGCTGGGGGAGGGGAAGCTGGCTGGGGGCTGAGGGGAATAGGTGTTGGGGGAAGACATGGGTGCCTGCCTGTGGGCTAGGTAAACACTCCATGTGCGGCTTCCTCCAACACCTCCTTCTCCCTCGGTCCGATCAGGCAGGAAAGGCGGGCAGAGACTGAGCACGTCCTGGGACACGGCAATGGTTTCTCCCCCAGTGCATGCCCATATTTTCCTTCTTACGGGGGGGAGAAGGAGGGGTGTACCAGGAGCCACTAGTTCTACACAGCACACTGCGGGCCTCCTTGCCCCCACCTCAGCTTGCTCTCTGTGCCTGCT